CTCTGAGCCTTCATGAGTCTGTTTAATAATATATAGAAATCCCGGACTAGAAATCCTGGACGTTGTGTATTAAAGTAAAATTAAAAATGTTTTCTTGTGTTCACATTACTTTAATATTTTGTACTCACCTCCAAACTAGACGGGAGTCGATTAATGCTAAGTTGGCCTTGGTAGTTGAAGATTTAAGTAGTTCTCCCTTGTTGAAGATTTAGTTTTTATCAAGTGCTTAGATTTTTATGTTATTATTATTATTTTTTTTTTTTTTGGATTCAAGGGATTCTCCTCTATTTAGATATTTGTGTTTAGAATTGTTTTTCCCGAGGTGGTTGCTTTTTATGCTACCTCTTTTTTTTTCTTGTTATTTTAAAGATTATAATTGAATTAAATTTGATTGAATTGTGATGTGTCAATATATTGTAGTTTCAAACTTTTAATCATTATTTAACTTATTTTTAAGAAAAGACAAAGTTAAAATTTTTTAGATTGTTCAATCTAAATCAATGGCCTAGATAAAAAAAAAAAAAGTAATAAGTGATGTATTTTTATTTGTGTGATTATTTTTTAATAATTTATTTTTGATAATGCTGTATTTTTTATTTGTGATTAGTGTTTAAATCCTTCCCTTTGTGCAGCAAAAATTTCAATATACAACTTCAGCATGTTGAGTTGATTGCTAGCATGCTTTGTATTTGGAATAATGTGACTTGTTTCTGGTAATTTGAGGTGTGAATTTATTAAGTTTATTTAGATATAGAGAATTATCGTGAGCATTATGGTTTTATGAACATGGAATCCTCTAGTTGGGTATGTAAAGTCGTTGTTTCATAAGAGTCGTGACTAGAATTTATATATAAATGCATATTTTTATTAAAAAGATTCTTATAACTTATTTTTTTTTTACAAATGACTATGTAAGTAAATTAGCAACATTCTCGAGCTTGCAATGAGATTCACCATTTCACATTCAACCATTTCTACGACAATTTTAGGATATCAAAACAATGTTAAGTAGTTGTGCTTGATCTATATTAAGAGTTCTTCAAAGCTTATGCAATATTGTACTTGACATAAGTTCTTGTTGTTTTTCTTTGTATCAAAAGGTATTACAAATACTCTATTATTAATAATATTTCATCACTGTTTTATCTTAATCACTTCTCGTATTGTATTATGAATTATTATTACTCTTTAAAGGGAATAAATTAGACAATTTTTATTAAAAAAAAAAAAGAGAGTCATATTTACACTTATTTCTCCTCTTCCTAGAAAATCAAAACAATAAAACTTCTTATATCAAAACGTAAAAATCACCGGTGAAACTTTTAAAACACGCAGGTTGTATCCTTGCCAATTGTAATATTATCATATAATCATTTTGTCAACATTTTCAATGATGATTCTCTATTAGCACTTCATTTTCGTTGCTTTGAACTTGAAAATACAAAAATATATATTATTGTTAATAGAACAAGCATTGTAAATTGAAAAATCTTTTTTTAATTAGTTTATTTAATTTGAAGTAGTCAAAATATGATCAATATCTTGAGGCATTTTTGTAAATGTACTCTATGGATGGACAAACAAACTAGAACCCTGTGCATATAAATTAATAATACATGTCATTAAATATATTGCAAGTATGAGGTCATTGCATACATCATGGGATTGCTAAAACTTTTTAGATTGTTCAGTCTAAATAAATGGCTTAGATAAAAAAAAAGAGTAATAAGTGATGTATTTTTATTTGTGTGATTATCTTTTAATAATGTTATTTTTTTATTTGTGATTAGTGTTTAAATCCTTTCCTTTGTGCAGCAAAAATTTTGTTATACAACTTCAGCATGTTGAGTTGATTGCTAGTATGCTTTTTATTTGGGACAGTGTAACTTGTTTCTTGTAATTTGGGGTATGAATTTGTTAAGTTTATTTAGATATAGAGAACTATCGTGAGCATTATGGTTTTATGAACATGGAATCCTCTAAATGGTTATGTAAAGTCGTTGGTTCACAAGAGTAATGACTAGAATTTATATATAAATACATGTTTCTATTAAAAAGATTCTTATGACTTATTTCTTTTTTACAAATAGTTATATAGGTAAATTAGTAACATCCTTGAGCTTGCAATGAGATTCACCATTTCACATTCAAAATATGACAAAAAGCATTGTAAATTGAAATTTTATTTTTTAATTAGTTTATTTGATTTGAAGTAGTGAAAATATGATTAATATCTTGAGGCATTTTTATAAATGTACTATGTGGATGGACAAACAAACTAGAACCCTGTGCATATAAATTAATAATACATGTCATTGAATATATTGCAAGTATAAGGTTACTGCATACATCATGAAAAATTTGTCAGAATTAAAATTTTCTCTAAGAAATGAAAATTTTCTCTAAGAAATGGCTTGTCATTCCCATTTAAAGCAAATCACATAAGAAACATCCTTATTATGTACGATATTTATAACAAGAAATTCAACCCAGTCAATGCATCAATAGAACAAGAGGCATTCCATTGCAGTAAGGTTGCTTACAAAAAACGCAGACTCTAGAAATCCCGGACCATGGCGTAATGCAACCTAATGAACAATTTTTCCATAATTCCACGATATTTATATTTGAATAAATTGAAAATAATATAATAACAATATCACTTAGATATTATAAATTAAGATTAGTATTTATTTAACTTACTTCTTAAAAAGTAAAAAAAAAACTTTTAAAATTTCATCATTTCAATAAAATGTTATGAAAAAAATAAAAAAAATATTTTAATTCATATTTTAAAAATATTATATTT